CAAACCCGACCAAAGAGCCTTGTTACAGGGAGCTGTGAGCTGGGTCCTGATGCTTCCTGAGTGCAGAGCACCACGCACCAGAGCATCCTCCTTCCCACCAGCACCCAAGCCCAGAGCGCTGCTGGTGGCCCCAAGCTTGGCTCCCCACTCCAAGTTTCTCTTCTCAGATTTGTGGATTCAAAACTTGGAAAAAGCTGTGTTTAGTGTCCAGTACCCCAGAGCATGCAGACATCAAACGCTGACTGCAGAGAGCATCTCTGGAGCCCCAAAACCACAAGAGAGCTGGCTGTGGGTACAGGACCCCAGCTAGAAGTGTATTTTTCAGCAGCATGAGTGGAGAAGGAAAGCAGGAAGGTGGAGAAGGCCAGAACAGGGGTACCTGAGGAGGCAGTGAAGGTTTCAGCACTGCAGGCTTGCAGGGTGCTCAGCTGGGATGCTGAGCGCTGGGGATGGAGCTGGGCAGAGCAGCAAGGCTCCTCCGGAGGTGGCAGCGGCGCTGCCGGAGCGCGGGCCAAGGCTGAGGCCAGGCTGGACGCTCGCAGGGCTGCGGCAGAGCCAGCTCCAGCCCCGGTGTTTTCCCCACGCTGCTGATCCCAGTCATTGCGCAGCTGGCGGGCACAAGACTGCGCAGGCACCGCAGGACAACCCCCATCTCCAATCAGAGCAGGGCCTGATCGCTTTTAAATCTGCCTTTAAAGCTCCAGTGGAGCCGGGGAAAGGAGAGCACTAGCCTGAGGCTCCCACTAAATCCATCAGCAGGGAAATAATGAACCCAGCTGCTGCGAAGGCTGGGCCAGCCCTGGGAACATTATCATTTCCTCGTAATTAATACCAACATGACTCCAGCAGCTTTGGCAGGCGCCCGCGCAGAGCACAGGCAGTTTGTTAACCAGTCAAAATGCCCTGTTAACGCTGCTAATGAACAGCCCTAATGAGGGAATCCCAGCCTGTGTGTGTGTTGGGGGGCCTTGTGGTACTGAGCACCCGAAACGGGACCGTGAACCCTTCCAGCTGGAAAATCCAGAGCAGGGGCCAGCAACCGCACAGCTGCAGCAGTTGGAGTGGGACCCGAGCTGGAGCCAACAGCCAGGACAGCTGAGCAGAAGCCACCTCCTTCCAAACGCAGAGATTAAACAGCGATGCGTGGGCAAAAGGAGCGAGGAGCCCCGACGGGACCACGGTTGCAGAGGGGTTGCAGTGTCTTCGCTCTTGGCCCCTGCTCCTTTGGGAGGTACCAGTTGCCCGGTGTTTCCAGCACTCCCCTTGGGCTGATTGTTTTGCCAATGGCTGTAGTTTAACAGCATTATCATGTCAATGGGCCTGGCCAGGCTTTGCAGAGAGGGATGGAAAAGCCCTGGGAGCAGAGAGCAGCCGAGGAGGCGCACGGATACCCAACGCTCCTCTGATCCTGCTCCGCCTGGGAGAGCTCCTGGGCCAGGCTAAATCTGCCAGGGATTTAGGCCCCCCGCAAATGCTGCACTCAGGCACCCAGCTGCATTTTCTCCCTGCTCGTTCTTCACTGCCTGTATCTGCACCTCGGATCTGGGAGAGCATGGGAGGCTCCTTTATCCCCTCCCAAAACCACCAGGCAACGGCTGCCATTCTTTGAGCTTAGGGACCATTCCCCAGTCCTCCCAATCAGGCAAGACACTAATTGGCCCCTTGGCGTGGGGTCTGGGCAGAAAGAGAGCCCTGCCCAGGGCACGAGGGCAGGCACGGAGCCCTGGGACACGGTGGCAAGGAGCCCCTGTGCCAGCGGCGGGGCTGCTCTGCCACACAGGGCCCCGGTGCAGGGAGCAGAGCGCCTGGATAAGCATATGCTGGGGCCAGGCAAGAGTGAGGGACCTCAGTGTGAGAAGATTATTTATTTATTTATTTATTTATGATTTTGTTGTTTAGTCCCTTATTGCACCATGAGAGCTGGTTCATTCAGATCTACAGCTCTGCCGCCAGCACCTGCCCCTCAGAAACGTCGCAAATTAGAGTTACACAGCGGTTTGGAGCCCAAGCCAGGCCTTGCAGTCGTGTCAAACGGCCTCCTGAGTCCTTCGGGGTTCCCCTCTTCGCTCCTCTGGTGAGCACACAGGCTCGAGGCTACGGCTGCTCTCCCTGGAGATGGGCTCCCTCTCTCTCCAGCTTGTTTCCCTTACAGCCCGCAGAGCTGGAGCCCCTCTCCCATACCCCGGCCTCCCAGTGAGCACAATCAGCTCGATTCACACATTTGGGCTGGACAATTCCTGGCTAAGAGCCTGGAGCATCTTTCCATTGAAAGCCAAGTCACTTCTCCCAGAGCTGGCCTTTAGGGGGGTGCACGGACTTCAACCAGCCAGGGTCACCTGGAAATGTCCTCGTCCTCCAAAGCTCCGCCACAGGGTCCCTGCCAGGTGCTGGGCTGGGGAAGGAGAGGCTCCATTCGGCTCCGCTCGGCTCTGCTCAGTGCACAGTGCAGGGCTGTCCCCTCTGGCTGAGCATCGGTTAGCGGCAGGCAGGTCACTCAACCCGGGGCTGCCAAAGCCTCCGCAGCGCCTGCAGAGCCGGACGGTCTCTCCTGATGCAGATCTATCTGGGCAGTGAAAAGGGAAACGGCCATGGCATGCTCTGGCAGCTGGCACAAACACGCTTGGGCACAAAGTGACTCCACGGGGCCGGGTGACTTTCCGCGCTTCCCCAAGCACACGGGTCCCTTGTGGGGGGGCTGGCACATTCGCGTGCCTTGCACCACTTCTAAACTTGTCCTGGTGCAACGCTGCCCTGAAGCTGCCCCGCAAGTGCTGCCCTGTTGGAACAGCCTGTCGGAGCGCCTCGTCTCTCTGTGGCCCCCCGCCTGCAGCCTTCCTACGGCTGTTCCGTCCTGAGCGTGCTCGCCGTGACGAAGTGCCCACGCTGGGGCGAGGAACGGGCAGCACGTCCCCACGCGGGGCGTCTTCATGGGCTGGCCCTGATCCCGTCACTGTGAGATGGAGCCAGGCGAATGGGTGGAGATCCTCCTGCATCGCTGCTGTTCCAGCAGGGAGGCCCCAGGGCCACCAAGGGCTTGGGCCACCTTACAGGGTCCGTGGGAACACGCAGCCCTCCTGGCTGTGCATCGGGCCAGCACATACCACAGTGCCGGTGCACGTGCGGGGCGCCACAGTGGCGCTGGGCAGCTGCAGGGCTGGAGGCAACAGCAAAAGTCACCTCTGGCGGCTTCCTGATTGCCCCTGCGCCTTGCTCCGAGAGGCCTCCCATGGATGCAGTGATTTGCCAAGAGCTTCCACTCTTAACAAGAGAAGATGCCATAAACCTCCACACGGGTCGTGTCCGGTGGTTGCCCAGGACCCCAGCGTGGCTGGGTACCTCTTTAACTGTCACCCCACATCTGCCGGGATCATCCCCATCCCTGCGTGCGGTCCAGCCCCGCTCCTGCAACAAGTGCCCCGCGAGCAGCGGGGACCCCGCAGGGGAC